AAATGCAATTCTTGAAACTATGTAAAGTACATTGGCAGTTCTATAGATTTGTAATGATTATTTGTAAGAAATATTGTTTACATGCATAATTCCTACCAGTATTTTTTATACATGCATATACGTTTATAAAAGTTTATATAATTCTGTTCGCATGTACAATGGCAGTGTTGTTAGAAGAGAAAATAGCACTTTTCCTATGGAAGCATAAAACAAACAATATACTCTGAATATAAAAATATTGAAAGTTATAAAAACTATAGAAACAGTATTAATTGTAATTAACGTACACAGTAGTATTAATTACAACTTTCAAAGTTATACAACTTTAAAAAAATTAATATAAGAAAATAAAACTAATTTCCAATTCTAAATCATCAGTAAAAAATAAAATACTATTGGGTGATAAATATTTTAATACATATGTATGAAATATTCTACTATAAAATATGTTCTTAGTCCTCAAAGTCTTGTGATCAACCTACAAATTCTATGTACAACTGTATCATGATTCTAATACACAGCTAATCTAAAAATAGGTCCACCATATATCACTTTACTTCAGTTTAGCGCAAGCACCCCAATTATTCATTTATAAAATTGAGAAGTAAATTTGTGATATTTTGTAATACTACGAAAATAAAAGCGAATAGATTATTCTGCTTACCACATAAGAAGTTATTCTCCAAAGAATTTTCTTATCTTCCTACTCTTACTTTGTGTTAAGGTATCATAAATTTTGTTATAGTTACTAAAGCTATGCATACACAATAAATAATTTGTAATTTCTTCTACTATTGCACGATTTTCATTTTGTACCCTGATTTTTAGGTGTTTCTTTACCATATATAAAATTACCTAATTAACTAAATATAATTTTAATTAACTAACAAAACTTTGTAAAAAATATTTCGTATTAAATATAATACTTGTTAACACAAAATTTGTTTTGTGCAACATAAAATACATATAACTCCTTATATTGTCCACATTGGAAATTTTTCTATAACCCTGTACTGGAGTCATTTAATACATAATTACACATAATTGTACGAATAAAACTGTTTGAAATACTACTGATTCAATATATAAAAAAGGACCTGGTCATACAATCTTATCACACAAAATACCAACAAAAATTATACAAATTTTAATGATTTGTATATAGCTTTTACTTAATTATATTATATATTTATTGAGACTGTAGATTTTTAAATTGCAAAATGAAAATTATTTTGCCTTTCATAATTCTTTATGAAAATGTGCCTAATTCATTTGTTTGTTCTTGATGATATTTGTTTTGGTCTTGTTGCTGCTTAATAAAAGCACTCAACCTGTTAAGTAAGAATTGCTTATCATGACCTTCTAGTACCAATTGATTCTTCAAAACTCTCACCATGTGTTGGTTTGCTACTGATACTGCATAATAATAATACAAAAGTAGAATAAGAACAAAAAAAGCTGGGATACCAAATCCAGCAGTACTAACAAAATATAGTATTGATTGAATCCAATTAGGAAATTCTGAAAACATAGTAATTAGTAAATCCCACACTGATTTAAGACCTCTAAAAGGGCCACAAGACTTAGAAGGCATTATCTCTGCGATGGAATATCCAATTGGGATTGTAGATAAAATGAATGAAATTAATAAAATAAACATGAAAAGTGAATTTGATTTACTTGCCCTATAAATTTTACTTGATGGAGTACTGTTTATCAAGCAAGCAAATTTCTTGATATAGAACAAGATAAAAGTACCAATTATTGCAACTAATGGCAGTAAGGGCGCAAAGAAACAACCAAGCCAACATATTGTTTGTAAATAAACTACATCTAATACATGTTTAGGTAAATCAAATTCTTGTTCCCCAAAAAATCGTAATACTTTGTTTTCTGTATGTTTCGCTATTAATGACCTAGGAAAATTAACGAAAAATGTCATGATAAACTGAAGAAAAATATCAGTTATATAAAGTTTAAAAAATTGTTGACCCACAAACGTTTCCCAGCATAATGGTCGACGATTACTAGTGCATTCGTTATTTAGTACTTCACTTGTAATTAATCTATAAAATGATGTAAGTAATACGGCAAGAGAAGATAGTCGTAGAAATATTGTTCTGAAAAGAGTTATACGCACAACGAATGGTGGACTATAATTTTCTAGAGTAACTAAATACCGAAATAGAAAGGGCACAGCAAGATTTAAAACAACAATGCAAATGTACGGGAGAAACTCAAAAAATAACAAAGCAATTGTGTTTAATGATATGTGTCCTAGACTGTAATTTTGAGTAGATTGTGAAACTTGATCAAAGGAAAATTCAAACACATAATAAATAAATACACCACAGCCTAATAATGCTGTAACAACAATTAAGTTAATAAATAAACGCATAAGAAAAAATTTTGTTTTCTCTTCTCTTGTTCTATTTTGTCTTTCTTCTTCCAATCTTTCAGTTTCTAAAAATGATTTCATTTCATTATATAATGCTTTATGTTTTACACCTGCAGACTTTTCATTGTGTATGCAATAATCCCAACCCCCAAAAACTAGGTTGCAATACTGATAAAATTGACCTTCATTTTCAATAACTCTCTGTTTGAAACCTTTAGCAGCTGATTTAACAATTGCTACCAAACTAAAGATAAATACACCAATAATAGTACAAATATAAGATAATGGTAAATTATAAAATATGTCAGAAGCATCATAAGACATATGAGTGTATGCACCATAAAATAAGAAAGTGTATTCCAAAATACCAGTGCCCTGTACAAAATCTGTTATACTACTACTGCCTTGAGTTATATTCCAATATAACTCTGAGCAACAGGGTATGCTGTGACTGTTATTAGAATTTATGCATGGCTCTGTTTCTGGCATTTCAAATACTATTCCAGGTAATACGATAAATAAGAACATAAGTAGAAATATGAAAATGTTAAGATACATCAACCATTTGACGAATAAAAAGTATGCTACTATCCCCATTCCAAAATTTCCTCCAATCGTTTTCAAACTTTCATTCCATAATTCCATTTTTGAATATGCTTCCTTCATTCTGATACGAAATTGTTGCCAGGCTTTTCTTCGTTGCCATTTCAATTGTTCGAAACCTTGCAACCTTAATTTTGTAGCACTCTGAAATTCATACGTATCTATAAATGAATGTGTTTGATTTAACTTTCTATTTAAACTGTATAATAATATTGCATAACGTACTTGTAACTGATTTTTTAGTTGTATCTTTTGTGTCATGCATATAGGCATTGCTTTTATTTGCATTATTTCTTCCCAAGTACGCTCTTCATTTGATAAATTCTCAGACAAGTCTGGCAACATCGATACTGCTGCATCATGAACATTTGTTGACATACGTCTTGATGTAGTTGTACCACGTGATCTTGTGCTGGTACGCCTTCTTAATGTTGTCTTTGTATCATTACGTATTCGTTTGGCAGTAGCTATTTTAAAATGATATTAAATACATAATGGGATGATGTATTTATAACTATTGGAATATGTAAAGACTTACCAACACGAGATTTTTTACTAGGTAATAAAGTGGCTATATGGGAAGGATCTCTTTGTAAAACTTGCTGTAAATCAGCTTCAATAGCTGCAGGATATCGTTCTTGATAAAACTCAGCACCTGCTTCTTCCCAACCTTGCCCTCTGTCACATGCACGTTTTTTTCTTTCTCCACCTGACATCCTCTTTTTGTGGCAGTAATTGCAATTTATAAATGTGACTCTCCTTAAAAACCTTATATGTAAAATTCAAATACAAATTATTATTTTCAAACACCTATCTAGTCAAATAACTGAATATTTTATATATACATATACATTTATTATTATTTTGCACTTTATGATCAAACTATAAAGTATTTATTGCACCAAACACACATTAATAACAAATAGTTCTGTGTTCATGTCTGGCAATACTCACCTGAGATAAATCAGTCAATCAAGTGTTTCGCAAATGCGTCATTGTTCGATAAGGTGTAACTTTCCTTTATATTAATAATAAAAATTATTATAAAAAAATAACACTCTAATGGCAAAACACTCACGTCTAGAACTCTTCTGGCACATACAATATTTCGTTTTGTAAACTATGATATGGTTGCGCGAAATGTTTGAGAGGCGCTTATATATATTAAATCACATCAATGTAAATTTAATAATTCCGTGTAATAATAAATCTGATTCATGTAAATAGATAAACCAAGATAACCGCAATGATTCATCAGCAAAAACACTTATTGGCATTTTGTTTTTTCATATATCACATTCGTTGTATTTGATGATAGACGGCTCATAAAAGAACACTGGGACATAAACCAAGGAGAGTGTAGAAGGTATACTCCTGTAGTTACAAAGAACAGCAAGATCAATTCAAGATTAACTTTCCAAGATCTTATTCATTATATTTTTAGTTGTTTTTTTTTCATGTTCATTAATCCACTTAACCAAAAATTTTATTAAAAATTTTATTTTCCACATTTTTGGGATTTCATAAACACATAAATGCACAAAAATTAATAATATGTAATTATAACATGCATTTGATAATACATTTCATTAAATTAAATTAAATTAATTTCCTATCAATCAACTCATAATAACTTATTGTTGAGTTTAAACATTCAGTTCCATTATACAAATAAATCGTATTTACAAAATTCAAATACAAATACATAGTGAAATTCAATGCTGTATAAAGTGTAGAATATAACAATTATATAAATAATGATAGTTTAAATTTCTACAAAACTAAGTCATTTGGATATAAATTGAAAATAATATCGAAACTTTTAATTTATTTAAAGATTAATATTAATATTCTTAATTATTTATATTCCATACAACATTTGAAAATGTAACTTGAAGTATATAAACAATTAAGCATAAGTTTATATAAATTACCAATATTCATTACTATGCTCTGTTAATGCAAATTTGACTGGTACTATGTGATGCAATGGTATCTGAATAATATTTTACATATAACATTTTAGTATTGTCGTCCTCTGCCTCCACCTCCAGTATATCCGCCGCGTTGGTAGTTATCCGTACTAGAATTATTTCCTTGATTCCACCCTCCTTGAACTCTGCCTGCCCTTCCTCCTCTACTACCACTCCCACCCCCTCTTTGATATTGTTGATTATACCCTGTGTACAAAAGTTTATAATAATCATAAAAGTAATAAAAATTATTCTATCTGAAACTTTACTTTATTTTTTTTAATTTAATTCTAAAATC